TTTTGGGTTTACAAAAGTACTTCACATATAATTATAAAATATTTTAGAGATTGGCCTTCCAAATAAAGAAAAGTGGCCTGAAATTTTGAGGAATATTCATTTGCTCTCATTATTTGAATGCAATTTGCTTCTAGTGAATCCAATGAGTCTAAAAGTTTTGTGTTATTTGCAAGATGTTTTTATGAACATTTAAAAGTTCATGTTGGTAGTTCCCATGGAATGGGTGCAACTACCGGTCAATGAACAGAGGCCTAGTTCACCGAAAAATTTCAGCCAAGTGGTTCTTATTGCTGAAATTCACTTTCAGCAACAAAAACCATGTTGCTGAAAGTGAAGTATATTTTTTGGGGGGAAAGTGTACTATTTAAGTATCAGCAACGTGGGTCTTGTTGGTAAAAATCTCTATCACTGACATGCTCCCATATTGCTAATTAATTTATGGAATTGGTGCAGCATCCGGTCATGAACAGTAACAAAAAATTTTCAGCAACAAGAACCATGTTGCTAAAAGTAAAGAACACTTTTTATGGAATTGGTGCAGGATCCGATCATGAACAGTAGCCAAACCGGTCATGAATAGTAGCCAAAAAATTTTAGCAACAAGAACCATGTTGCTAAAGGTAAAGAACACTTTTTATGGAATTGGTGTAGCATCCGGTCATGAATAGTAGCCAAAAAATTTCAGCAACATGGTTCTTGTTGCTGAAAATCATTTTCAGCAACAAGAACCATGTTGTTAAAAGTAAAGAACACTTTTTGTTAAAAGATGTACTATTTAAGTATCAGCAACATAGGTTTTGTCGGTGAATATTCATATCACCGACAAGCAATTTCATGTTGCTGATGCTTAGTTGTTGAAAACAAGAATTTTAGTAGTGTTATATAATCAAAAAATTATATTAATAACATCCACTATTTATTATTCGCTACATATTTTTTGCTTTTCCTTATTTACTAATCGTCATCCACTACTCATCACTATTCACTAAATTTTAACTATTATTTAATTAAGAACTCAAAGTGGTTCCAAATACATATATATATATATATTATAGGAGCTCAGGGAAAATTCAATCACTACAAGAATTCACAACTTCACCGATGAGAAAGCATGTCGGAAAGAAAGGAAATCATGTCGGTAAAACCAACTTCCCACTTGAATCATGTCGGTAAACCTGTTGTCGCTGAAAGTGGCCTCGGTAATTCATTTACCGACGTGGATTAAAGCTACGTCGATGAGAAGGCTGCCAATTACCGACAAGAAACATATCTCCACCAAAAAGCCGGAACAGTATCATCGGAGATTTTTTTTGGTAACCCACGTCGGTAAATTACCGACGAAGATCACGTCTCCAAGTACAGCAGTGCCTCTGAAGGTGTGCTACGTCGCTAATTCACCAAGGAAGAAGTTGTACGAAAATTTTAATTTACCGACAAGATTAACATCGGGAATGAAGAAAGCCATTTTTCATTTGGCAGCTTACCGATGAAGATCACGTTGGTCTAGGAGGTTTCTAGGAGGAAATCAACAATTTAAGCCTCAAGTTACCGACAAAGGTAACATTGGTAAAGAAAACCACTAAAAAAAAAAGTTTCTTGAATTGATATTGGAATTAATATATATATTATTTAATTCAATTAATTTA